CCTGATAAGCTATCACAACATAGATAGAGAAAACGTTTATGAGTGCTACAGTAAATAAATTTAATACAAGCACATACTTACCGCCATGTCCTTCGACGTGGAAAATAAGTTCGTCATTCCGCGTCCACGCGGCCTTGGTCAAGTTGGCGCTACCTCCAACTGCGAATGCCGAGTCCTCATTCCAAATAGTGAGGAGCTTGTAGTGCATCCTGTGAAGGCTGTGGTAGACAGAAATTCCTGCAACCACAAGCTCTACCACACATTTCCGGCCTGTCGTGCAACCCCTTGTCCACTCCTTGTCAATGACGACTTGGACGGACTTACCTAGAGGAATTTCCATAATCCAGTACTAGGGTACTGGATTTTGATGATTTTCAAAAAACATTTCAAACCAACAGTGTCAATTCCAGTACATCTGCCCTGGGTTTGCAGTAATTAAAAAAACAGTACCCTACTAAGTTCGCACTGAACCAGTGCCCGTATCAAATGCTTACAAGAGTATTTTTCCGGCGAAAAAGTAAAAGAATAAAAAGTTTAACATGATCTCGACGTCGTGGAAATGTCGACGCTAGGCACCATCTCTTATGTTAAATTTTTCAACGTGGAAATGGCATTAATCACTTCGAACGCTTATTATGCATTTATAATTAGATCAATGACCCGAAGATCATCGATATCTCAAATGAGTCGGAGTTGAGCACCTCAGTAGTCGCTTATTTCAAATGTAGATCCCCAAAAAAGAAGGAAGAATTCGCAGAATTCGAGGACAAGTTAATTATCTCCTGTGTCGCCTCGAAGGTAGTCACCTGATTAATTCTTATATAAAGCAAATTTTACATCTCATTGAAATTATCTCAAACTTAAATATCAGAAATATACATAACAAAAATCATTTTGCAAAAACTGACATTGTTTTTTTTTCTTCTAATATTAGAGTTCTGATGGTCGTGATCTCTTATAATGCGAACCGCAGCAGTCTCTTGGCAATTGGCACGATGCCGCCACACAACAAGCGCAAGAAACATGCCAGGAACTTCAAGCGCATGATAGACGGCTCCTTCTATCAGCTGAAGAAAACATCAACCTCCCAACAAAACCGCCAAGCAACGAAGAAGTTAGAACAAGTAACGTGGAAGTCCATCGAGGAACGGGTCTTTTTAATGGCACTCGAGCTCGACGGGGATGAAGCAGGGAGCTCTACGACATTGAGCGACTCTACGCGATGCGATGGGTGCACAACTTAGAATTATATTTAGTGCAATGGGTTGGCTACAGAGAACTAACATGGGAACCAGCGAAAAATTTACCCTGGAAGATGAAGATCGACTTTGAACTGGACACAATTGACTTCGTATGGCTGTACCAGCCAACAAGAGAAAGAAGGCGTCCAAACAGCCAACGCGCCGCAGTCAACGAGTTGTAGCGCGAGTCTAGTCTAGATATAATCGAAATCGCAATTTACAACACAATAATTTCAAAAAACTAAGTTCGCCCGCACTTAGTATGTACTGGTAACAGTACAATAAATTCTGTGTCGGTCTTTCCAAAATCCAGTACCCTAGTACTGGATTATGGA